AAAAAAAAAAAATTGGATATTCAACTATTAGATATATCATAATAAATTACAATATGATAATAATAAATAATTCGTACGTCTCAAGTAAAGACGAGTGCATCATATTTTATGAAAACGTAACATTTTCAAGTACAATAAAACAAGAAAATGCTTTTTTTTTTTGGAAAAGTTCCTTTAAAGAAGCTTTCAAATTATATCAGCAGACTTGTATTGGTGTATGCCTCACAAGTAACCACTACCACTAATACTATGTAAATTTTTAAAGTTTAAATTTCAAATTTGAGTAACATATTCTAAGAAAGCTACAATTTCATAAAAATGAAGGAGAAAGGTAGTTTCCATTATTACTAGAAATGTAAAAATGCAACGTTTGCAAGTCCTCCAATTTAAAGTAACTTAATTATTGTTCACACCGTACTGTAATACATTGCGTTCTATAAAAGTGCAGTTATAAGTGTTAATTATGAGATTTATATTTGTATCGCACACTTTAATCGATTTACATTTAGAAGGAGAGAGTATTAAAAGCCGAGGGTAAAATGATAAATCATTAATGCATTAGCATGGAAAGTAGCAGAACGAAGCCATAATTTACTTCCTATCGTTTTAACAATATAGACAATTAAATAATCATTTTTTATAAAGTAGTATTATATTCGACATTGCAACGTTTTTATTTCACGCATACAAGCATCTGCACTCTCAACTTTCTATGAATATACGTTAAACATTATATATTCCCCACTTGTATTTCTCAGATGTCAACGCCACATTTGCACAAAATTCCAACTTTTTCCTACAAAACAAAACCAAAACAGACAAGAAAACTTTTAACTTTATACGACTTATTTTCTAGATTTATTATATGTTCCTGTTCATGAATGCCCGCCAACTATTACATTTTAATTCGTGCAAATCGGATCGCTATTTATTACTTTGTATTTCAAACAGAAAACTATGTAAAGCCGTTTATGGTAAAGTAGATAAGTTCAATGATGTAATAACCTACATTGTTTATTACTTTATCGAACTTTATTATTACAATGTCCAATAATACACAATTTGTGAAATATTATAATTTTTCTTTAACAGTCTAGCTCGATTATTGATCGCTACATTATTTTTTATTTTTGTTGGTATTGTCATTAAAATCATAAATATGATTTTTGATGATATTTCATTGTTGCTGTTGTTGTCGTTGTTGTTATTGTCGTTGTTATAGGTATTATTATCAAATAGAACGATGCTCCAATTTAGAAGAATGGAAAAAGATTTTATTTATTTCATATCGAGTATTGTTAAATACGTTAGGTATTGTAAGTGTCCGATTTGCTCCTCACAATTGTGATATTTTGTCGCAATTGGATCTCTCAAATAAACAAGTGTTGAAGTATTCGTAAGTTTACTTGAGCTCACTGTCCGTCGGAAAATTCAAAGTTTCCGAGTGCGATTTTCAGCCAAGTAATGTAGTACATGCCTTTTTAAAATTTTCTTTTAAAAAATCATCTCCATTTTTTTATAAGTAACCATATATATATATATATATATATATATAATAAATGTCATTTAACAATTAAATTGTTTTTCCACTTGGTAGCATTCGCAAGTATATTTATACTAGTCGTTTTGCGCCTTTAATCTCAGATTTATCATATTTAAAATGAATTTTTTTTATCTTAGATAATGATCATTGATAATTTCTTTACTCTCCTTCTTGTATCTTTGATATATATATACTTATATATTATATAATTATATTATATAATTATATATTATATATTATATACCTATATATATATATATATATACTATAATTTCACACGCAAATGCTATAGAATTTAATTTTCAAGAAGCATCTATAAGTATTACTTAAGGATTATTAATTATACCGATTTTTTCTACGTACAGGATTTGAAAAAAAAATTTGAAAGAAAGCTTTTATACAATTTAATGCTGAATACACAATGTTTCTCTTTCAAAGTAGATAAAGTATTCATTTAATGGTGACTTTATTAAACTTTTAATTTTTAATTAAAATTAAAGCATATAATTAATAGCAAAAGTTATATAATTTAAAGTAAAAAAGTTTCATGTAAAATGTGAAAATATATTTAGTGTGTGTTAGTTCCGCGGTTTTTAATTTCTTTGTAAGTCATTAACGAAAATGTGTGATAATTTGTTATATATTAAGTAAGGTACACATAATGGTATTTTTAATTTTAAAATAACACGATTTACATTAAATGGCGACTTAACGTATTCCTATAAATTCAATTCCATTATGAACTATATGTACGCTTAGTAAATTATAGTAGTATTTATTAAATTTGACATAATAATATTCTAAACATGTATTTTAAATCATTTTCCTTCAATGGAAGCGGACTAGCACTTTGTCATTGTTAGGCTTTACTAGCGCAAATGTGAAATGATTGTATAATCTGCTGCAGTTTGAACTTAACATCAAGAATAATTCTTTTTTCAGCAAAATTAAGTAAAATAACATCAAAATATTTGTACATTGATACGTATGATCTAATATGTACGGTACAACATTTACACATTATACGATACTCGGTATAATTCCAAGATACATGCACGTGCCTTTATTTTATAGAAATTAATGAGCGCCGTAACTATGAATTCGCTTTAAATTTGCTTTGATAGCCTTTCGAATTACGTATATGAGAAGCGCGAGATGACGGACAGGCAATTAGCAGAGTCAGCGAATCCAGGCACCGCAATACGATCTTCCAAAGAAGATCGAGAATCGCGATTGCCAAGACATCATCGGTCGATCTCTTGCAAGTTACGGGGGTTTGATAGTCACGGCATCCCTTATATCATACAGCACCTGAAAATCCTCGATATCGTATGCCAATGTATTCACGAATGAGCTCTCCGTGTCCACGTACACGCACGCGGAGAGGCTCGAAATAAAAACAAAATCGTGTTTCTGTCACAACTCTAGCGACGCGACGCGTAATTTCGCCTTGTAATAAATAATCGGTAAGTTAAAATGACTAATCTTGTTCATTGATTCAGTCCCTACCGATCGCACCGCCAAATACACAGCGTATGATAATTTTATTTTGACACAGTTAAATTTAATACATTATTATAAAATAACAGTAGACACTAGTCTTTTTATTAATTTAATTTAGATTTTATGTTGGAAAATTTATTCAAATAATATAAAAAATGCTTACGGAGTAAGAATATATATATATATATATATATATATATATACTACAACATTATTGTTATTTATTTAATAAAATATAATTGATTATGATATATAAGCTAGAATGGATCATGAGAAAGGAAATAGGAGTGAAATGTATGAAATTTTGAATTTCACATATTATTAGTTGGCTTAATGTGTTTTATAATTTTATAATAATCACAAATCAGTTGTATCTATCCACTTTAAGAAAGAAAAAGTTATAAATACATGACAAATTAATTGGTAATTGGTGATTTATGGCGAGTTATAAATTTCAATAAATACATATTCTTTAATCGACATTAAGAAGATTAATCGTGATTACTTAATATTATTATATAATTGGTCTATTGATATACATTAAGATTTTATAAGAATATATAATATTAAAGCATAGTTGAAGAAAGTTATTTTTGACCTTAGTTTGAACATCAAAATAATATGAATTTTCTATTACATATTATTTAAAAAGGGAAAGATATTTGTAATGAGAATAAGAATGGAAGTATTTTAAACGAATACAAATATAGACGTATAAATAAATAAATGTATATATATATATATATATATATATATATATATATAAAGAATATGCAATTAAATAATATGTTAATACATATATAAAAAATAAAATAAAACAAATTGTATGTAATATGTTTGTTGTGAAAAACAGAAAGTGCATAAAAAAAAAAATATACATTTTATCGTAAGTACGATATATATGGACGGAATTTTAAAATTGAATTGCGAAAGTAAGATTGACAATTCAACCTATTTCTTCTTATTAGATATTTGCACGAACGTTATAGGATTCATTCTTGGCAATTTAAAATTACTGTTGATTTTGCGAGTCATATTAATTTATCGTAGGAATTTTCTTACTTTATGATTTTACGTAGAAATAGTTTTTTTTTTGGTGATTTATGGTATTCTGTGGAACCTGAAGGTACTAAAATTTGCGATTGAAACGATGAAATAATAATGGACGTAAATAGTGCTTTTTTTTAAGTAAACGATCGGGAGAGTAAGATTTGCTCGCTCAATACAAAACATTGCCGCATCTACAAATGTCCTCTTGTATTTCTGAGCATATTTTGACTTTTAATCAAGATTTTCTTTACATATTTTTGAGATTCTTTGGAATAAAGGTGTATAATTGTGAAAAATGGCACTGTGACTTTCTCTTTTAAACGTGACGCGACATTAACATTAACAAAAGGAAAGAAATTAAAAGTAAATCCAGCTTTAAAGACATTGTGATGTATAAGAAAAATACAAGAAGGCATTACAAAAGATATCATTGTTAGCCGCTGTCGGTATAACAAAAGAAATGAAAAACAAAAGCAAATGAGTGTTAAGTCCAAATTTACAAGGTGCAGAAAAACAGAATCAGGTAAGGCGAAGTCATTCAAGTTCACTCCCCCTTACGTGGCATGTCATGAATAACGCAGTCCACGTGATTGGCGCAATAAGCCGTTATGAAAAGTAAAGAAGCCGGCGATCGTTCGATAAAAAGTCAGGATCGTCGCAAGCGTTGGCATAAAAATATTTGAGCAGCGCCATTCGAGTTGGCTGTGCGCTAGTGTCGCCAAGCGAACTGAGCTAACTATTAGCGAAGGCATCGAGGTTCGCTCGGTCCACCGAAAACTACGGGGTGGTCCGCTATGTGAGGAGCATCCCTGCTTCCTCCCAGTTTATCTCTCTCTCTCTCTCTCTCTCTATCTCTCTCTCTCTCTCTCTGTGTGACTAAATAAAAGACGCGTTTATGTTGTAGCGGGCGCGAGCCAAGGCGGAGGTGCTCCGGTGCAGCAGCGATAACAGGAGGAGGAGGCGGAGGAGAGGCGCCGAGGACGTGGGGTTCCCCGTGGGGATATGCCGGAGGTGGCGCCGGGACCGCGAACGACGCAGAGGTAGCGTCGCGCCCCCGGACCCCGCGTACCATGCAGCCGGCGCTCCCGCTCCTGCTATTCTGGCTCGCCCTCGTCCAAAGTCTGCCGCTACAGCCGGCCAAGCCCCATCCAGGTAAGGCTCGTTCCGCCGCTTTATTACTTCAACTCCTGCTGCCTGACGCGTCCACTTCCCGTTAATTATACGACCTCTCCGTCTACCGGCCGCTCTTTACATCTCTTTATCCCTTATCACTTATCTGCTCTGGCTATTCCGATGCTCGGCCGTCTTACGCTTTGACGGGCTTACCGAGGAGAATAATTGGAGAAAAACAAGAAACAAGAAAAATTATTAATTGAATAAATAAATAAATAAATAAATAAATAAAGAAATAAATAAAGAAATAATGATGTAAAATAAAAAGTAAGATATAAGATTATCACTGGCCATTGTTATTGGTTCATACGAACCGTAAACTTATATCTCGCAACCGGATCGAATTTGAGGTCAGAGAATATTGAACTCTCTACGTCGTGACGAATAAAAACTGGTTTGCGGTTGTAAAGGAGACCGTTGTATTGCTTTTGAATAAGTTGTGAATTCAATTTGGTCGTCCTGGACCTCTTGCATGTCAAATCGTCGATATTACATCTGCCATTTCCTGTATCTTCAATACAAACGTAATAGCGTCTTCTCCGTTTACGTTTTTTTTTTTCTTCTAAATTATACGTAATATTTTTACCGTTCAATATTCTTAAGATGTTAAAAATATAGAATATTTTTCATTATTATGTTAATTAGTATTTTAAATAATTTAATGACTATAATTAAATGTGAATGCCATTTAATTAATTGCTTTTTATATTCAATTGAGTTACAATTAAGAGTTGACAATGAACCATCGCATCTTGGTAATGCGCATCTTTTTTCTTTCTTCTTTTAGCAAACATTGAATATTTTTAAGTGGGTGCGCGCACACGCACACACTGGCTCATACATATAAAATATAATTAAATATAACACAATGTAATAAATAGAAAGAAAGAGTGAATCGTAGTAGTTCAGTAATGCTTCAGGGAGTATTTTGTACATTGTGAAAAGTGGTATCGTAGTTGCTTTGGCCAATCAGAATCCAGAAATACAATTCCACATAGTCGTCTCAATTATTCTTATCAATAATAGTAATGAAATTTCGTTATATTATCTTTAGAGTTGATTAGGTTATTACATAAACTTTTTTTTTTTCTCTCTTTTTTTGGGCTTTTTTATTTACTATAAAAACTAAACCTTACGATTGAAATATATAATACAGTCGTTTTCTATTGGGAGTCGATAAATAATCATACTTATGTATAAAGTCATTAAAATACTATTAAAATTTTAGCGACGCGCGTACAGAAGTGATATCATCTCATATTAGCTTATTCAATTATACGAATAGGATTATTTTTAAATCTAAGTTTTATTCACACAACGGGGACAAAGTGGCCTCATTAAAGTGCAATCTTATCGAGAAAATTTACGTAAAATACAGAAATAATATGTTTGCGATAACAAAAATATGTATTTAAAACTAATATTGTTTGTTTGTTTGTTTGTTTGTTGTTGTTGTTGTTGTTGTTGTTGTTTTTTTTTTTTTTTTTTTTTTTTAAATTGTCTAAGCTGAATAAGATGTTAGTAACGTTATTAGACATCTTGTGACAAAACAATTAAATATCAATGTACACAACGAATGAATGTTAAAATAATAAAATGAAATAAATAAAATGATTAAAAATGAAAAAAAACAGCCTTCGGAAATAAGCTTTCGTTGCCCAATATTATTTAATAATATCATGAGAATAGAATATTATAGACTTCAATGAAATCCTATTTTCTCGTGAAAACGACGAGTTGCCGTTCAAATGTTTTGGGAGGAGGCAGAAGGAAGTGACGCGACTTAATTAACGTTATTTAACGCGCCAACGATTAACGACTTGCCAACAACGTGTATTCTGTATCGATGCTCTTGGGTTATTCCCATCAATGATGCATGCATTGTCACGGTCTTAGGGCCAAGTGCATCAATGACAATTCACAAGGGTTGCTCAAAGGAATGCCAAATAGTGAATATGAAACTTATTTGCGCTCCCGTAAGTAAATTATTCAGACATTGTATTTGGATGTGACGTGAGGGAGATGTAACGGTGATGCCGTTGCTGCTCCAATTGTCGCCTATGATTAAAGTCACTTCGTTATATTATATCTTTAATATATTTCAGAATTTATAAACCATATAAAATACATAATTGTCGTGTTAAGTTTATTGATATCGCGTGTTCGAGGCTGATTCTCATCTGCTTTATGTTAGTTATATTATTTCAAATGACCGAAGAAATGCAAGGAGTGCGTCAATTACTGCCAATTATTTCTAACTAATATTATTGTACATCTAGAAACTTATAAACAACTTTGTTATAAAATCTCGTGTTATAGGATTATCATTGACTATTATGTTTATTAAATGCTTTTGTTTGTTTTTTTTAAACCGATGGAAGGATACGTGTAGGAAAGTTGATATTCGATTCAATAAGAACGTCATGTATTAACTCAGGGGCCACGACGAGATTAAATTAACATTTTCATTCTTAACTTTGGAGTTGATATTTCATTTGAAATTCTTCTTATTATTATTAGTCGTATCAAATGTATTCAAGTCTATCGAGAACATACTTTTCTAATTTAATGAATTCAATCGTTTCTTTTTTAATTTTTTTTTTTTAATTTTTTTTTTTATTTTTTTTTTTTTTTTTTTATAATGGATAAGTTATTTTATAATTATGTAATTTTAATGATATTTACTTACGTGCCCACGTAAATGTGGACAGTGAAACTTATTAACATCACAAGCTGCATTAATATCGTACTAAATCTTGTGAAGTTATTTTAAATTACTAGTGTAGCACGTAAAAGACTGTACGTTATTTGTTCTAAATTGATTATCCATATTTTCTTCTTTCTTTTTTTTTTTATTAATCTTTAGATGTATAAGGTTTTAAGGCACGCGTAATTGTCAATATGTATTTTCCGAGAATGTCCATGTACGTTGATCACTGGAAGAGCTTATTAGAATTAGAATTAGAATTAGAATTAGCTTAATAGACGAAAATTAATGTAGAATTTCATTAATTAAATTAATACCTTCTCCATTGTAATCTTATTACTAACTTTTGTTATTGTTAACGTTGAATAATCACATTATGAATACTCTTCTCTCGATTCTCATATATGATATCTGACACATATGAGAAAATCATTTATCAAAGTCGTTATTTATGATTTAAATAATTGTATGCAAAATGTGTGGTATAGAAAAACAGAAGAAACTGTTATGAAAAATACACGCTCTTTTCCCGGTAAAATCGTGCACTTTTAATCCGCTACCGTAATCCGGTCTTTATAAGCTTTATTATCAATTATGAAAGTTAAATCGAATCAATTATTCAACTAATGTGAGCTAACGTTATTAATAAGGAATTTCATAACTTTGTCCTTATTAAATGTTGAAAAATGCTATTTCCTTAGATCTTACCAATAATCCATCGATCTATAAAAGAATTTTAAATCATATCCTCCTATCTCAATTGGAATTCTTTTTTTTTTTTCTGTTTCAAAGTCGTGAAATCTCATCTCGGCTGCTCATTACGTTATCAAAGTAATTTCAGCTCTGCTGTTATTCTCTTCCATGATAAACAAACTGAGATCCCCTTATAGTTATGATTTTTCAAAATTTTTTTCAAAAAGATTGATGCAGAAGAATGAAAAGATTTTTCGATAAATATATATTGGCCAAGGAAGTCGCATTGGGGACAGGACATAGGACATAAATCATGGATTTTATTATTATTATTCATCCGATTCTTTACGCGGTGTCGAACGAGCTCACGTGGACAGAGATTCCTTGTTTCGCAGATGAAATACAATTATAATGGAGTACCGTTATTAGCTGCCCGATGAGAAATGCAGTTATTTATAAAGAGCTTATAGCGCGTTTCATAAAATTTACCGGATCCTCAATGTACCATCTGTTCAGATAATGCTTAATAAACTCGCGAGTGGATGGTCAATACGTAGTGTGCGGTGAGCTCGCAAAACGTGTTTGCATGTCATAAGGAAGCGCCGGGGGTATCGTCACTACTTAACAAACGGGGATTCCCGATCGCCATCTCCGCTCGCCGACACATGAAATTAACTGTAAGTGAAAGTAACGCGCGCATTAATAGTAACGAAATTAATCACTTGTCCTTGAATGGCTTCGGGCCTTTTATATCGCGTTTTTCATGCCTGCCGCGTTGTTTAGCACTATTGCGAATAACGCGATTATGTTGTCCTCCCAATATATTCGTGAATTCGCGTAAATTTCGAGCGATTGTAAGCTATCGCTGTGCATTCAAGCAATCGACTGTCGATTGCCATGGAAATTTTAACAACTGTTGAGAGTGTGCAGACGACGAGGCTCGACGACTAATCCTTCCATAGATTTTCCGTGTTTTTGTCGAAGGCGGGGAAAATAACAGTAGCGCGCTGGCTTTTATGGATAATGGCCAACGGTCTATGAAAGCACATGCCGCGATTATATTAGCATTGTCATTGTCACATTATCTAGCGCGACACTTGCCAATTATACGGTAAATTTTACTCTCGCAAGAAGCAATTGAATTAAAACGGTGATTCGGGATGAGGAACTATATTAAACGAAATTTAAATAAATGCCGTCGATGTCGGAATTATCGTGCATGTTGAAAATTATAAATTTGCATGTCAAATTGGGAGGGAAATTTAAAAAATTCAGAGTCGGAAAAATCTTTTATATTTGCTTTTGAATTGTATAATCCGTCGTTGCATTCAAGTGAATCAACGTGAAAAGCTAAATTATTAATATTATGTTTTATTTCCATTGCGACATTTATATAGTTTTAAAGAACGTATTTGATTATAATTTTGCAACTCCATCGAAGCTGTCGGATCATCTTATCATCGATTTAAAAAAAAAAAAAGAAAAACACACACACGCGCGCGCGCACACACACACACACACACACACAGACGCACACACACAGAGACGAACATTTTTACGATAGACATACGAGTTATTA